ATGACCTCTAAAAGCACAAGTTTGAAAAGTTAACCAACGGACCGTGTCAACTGAAGTCTTGAAACATAGTCGTTTCTTCTTAATGTCAATTGAACTTTGAGCTTGAAAAACATTACTAATGTGCCCATCTTGATTCAACAAGTTTTGACATGCTTTCATAACATGGTTGTGTGGTGAACAAGGATATGTCCCTATATGTTTAAGAAAGACACAATTCTTTCCATTTCTAACTTTTTTCCAACTTCTAAATATGCAGAAATGAAAACATTGAACCAGGATGCCCACTTGGTCTTTTGCTAAAAAGATAGCATGGTAAGAAATAATCAACATCTTCTAAAGGTGAATATTCTAACCATGACGAAAAAAGGCTAAACCAAGTGTATTGAAATCTTCTTTGATGGTCTTCTTTACCAAACAATGGATATTTCTCTTATTGAATTTGATATGAACCTCATTTCAAATAAGCTCTTCGTATTTCATACATTTGGTTAAGTGGATTCCCACATTGAAGGATATTTTCTATGATCACATTCTAAAGAATTCTCAATGTCATCCAAAACCGGGAAAACCCTATTCACATTCCATTCAATTCCTAGGTTCTCTAAAACTCTTTGAGGTTCAGACATAGAAACACTATTTTCTTCATCTATTTCTTTCCTCTTGAAAAATGAATCAATTTTTCTACTCTTCATCATCAATTTTGTGCTACAAAATCATACAAAAAGTAAAAATACACTTAATTCATAAAATAAATGTTGGAAAACAAGTGTGAGTTTCATGGAGAAATAAGTGTGAGTTTCATGGAGAAATAAGTGTGAGTTCTAAGTCCCACATTGCTTAGAAAAGTGGAGGTTAAGCTATCACCTTAAGGTTTTGGCTGAATATGTGGTCTCTTTCACTTGTTTAGGTGAGTCTTTGACCTTTAGGTGATTGTTTGACTCAATGTGAATGCTTCCCCCTCACGATGACCTATCAACAAGTTCATAGCTAAGTTAATTTTCAATATTTTATGAATTTCTAGACCTTAATTCATAAAAAACTAAATCACCCTTAAATAATAAAACAACCCATGCTACCAAATAAAACAACCCTTGTTATAGTTTCAAAATCAAAATTTTATACATGACATTCTTGTCTACTATTTTAGATTTTCAATTACAAATGCAAAACTTAAATTACTCATACGCTTTCAACAAAACTAAGAGAAATTTTAAAATTTTCAACATGTTATTGATAATAATGAGTATCAAAACTACAAGCAAAAATTATAAATATATTTGTTATTGATGAAAAGAAACTAGCCTAAATCTCGAGAGCCGGAGAAAAATGAACAAACGTAAGACAAGCAACTTCAAGGAAATAATTTAGATTCACAAGAAATAACTTAGTTGCATGAGAAAAGGAATTTTGGTGATTCTGATAGTAAAAAGAATAGAAAAGAAATAGAGAGTTTACATTTTCAAAGAAAAAAGAGAGAAAGATGGAAATATGTCGTAAATAGAAGAAGAAGATTTTTAGGGATGAGTGGCAAAGTTGTAAATATTTAGTTTTATTAAAGGTACTTCAGTATTTCACATATATAAAAAAAATTGGGATGGTCGTGGCCCCCCTGTCAACACGTACCTCCGCCTTTGACTATAGGCAGTCACGAGAAAATCTACGTAGGCCGTTAAAATGTCGATGTCATCGAAAAAATGGCTTGGTTAAAAATTTTTTTGGGTGTTACAAACAAGTTGTTAATGAAAATAAAAGTGGGACAACCAAGAAATATATCTTGGCCGTTATACATGTTTTTATTTTTTGCTCAAGATGAAAGTACACCATTAAATCTTGAGTACGCATGGTGATTTTTAAAAGAACAAAGAATTCTACTAGTGTGGCACAATCACCACCATCTAACCCATCGACACCTTCAAGATTTGAGTATAACTCATTGTCACCAATTGAGCATCCAATGGGACAACAAGCCGTAAAAAGGAAGGGTAAGGTAAAGGAAAATGCAAATGCATCTGAATCGCCTTCTAATGTTGTGCAAGATAGATGGAATAAAAGAGTAGCAACAATGGAAATACTAGCTCAATGTAAGGAGGAAGAGGTGAAGTTTAAAGCAACACAGTTCATTATGTCAGACACTTATACGATGAATGATAGTCAATGGGATGTTCGTGAAAAATATTTTAATAAGCTAAAAGAAAAATATAGGTTTTAGTTGCTACAATACTTGTTATGTATCAACACCTATGTAAAATGATCATTAGTACCACTTTAATTTATAATAAATATTATGTTGTTATTCAAATTAGTCATTATTCAAACTCGCCGTTATACACACTAGCTATTAGTCAAATTAGCTGGTATTCATATACCACTATATATACTATCACTATTCTCATTCTTTTCTCATTCTTCTCTATTTTTTTTCTCTCACTTTTAACTCACTTTAATGGATTCAAACAATTCAAATGATCTAAACACACTATTTTGGGACTTGGTTGAGGAAGAATTTATGGACAACACTGATGAAGAACTACTAAAGTCAATGCTTGAGAAGGAACGTTAATCTGGGAGTTCCTCTAGGAAAAAGGGAAGAACAGTGATAGATCGAAGTCGTGAAGAAGGGCATAATTGATTGTTTAATGACTATTTCTCGCAAAATCCAGTATACACAAATGCTCAATTTCGAAGAAGGATCAGAATGCATAGACATGCGTTTCTTCGAGTTGTAGACGCCCTTGGAAATCATGATGGATATTTCCAAATGAGGGTTGATGCAACTAGTAAAATGCGTCTTTCACCATTGCAGAAATGCACATCTTCTATTCATATGTTGGCATATGGGTCTCCTGCTGACATTATAGACGAATACGTTCGAATCGGTGAAAACACTTCCGTTGAGTGCTTAAAAAGATTTGTTCGAGGCGTGAATGTTGGTTGTATTTAGAGTTGAATATTTGAGAAAGCCTAACAACATTGATGTTTAACATCTTTTATAAATAGGAGAGTCACGTGGCTTTCCAGGTATGGTTCCATTGATTGTATGCACTAGGAATGGGAAATTTGTCCTGTTGCATGGAAAGGACAATTTTGTCGAGGTGATCATGGTAAGTCCAAAATCATGCTTGAAGCAATGACATCACAAAACATGGATTGTCATGCATTTTTTAGTATTACAAATTTAAACAATGACATTAATGTGATAAACCAATCCAACGTTTTTAACGATATTTTAGAAGAACATGCTCCCACAGTGCAATATACAATAACGGAACACTATATAATATGGGGTATTATTTAGGAGATGATATATATCATGAGTGAGCTACATTTGTCAAGACCATTTCAATGTCGCATGGAGAAAAGAGAAAACTATTTGCACAACATCAAGAATCAGCTATAAAGGATGTGGAGCGGGCATTTGGAGTGCTTTAACCTCGATTTGCAATTATACATGGCCCAATGCGTGTCCGACACATGGAAACCCTCAAGCATACCATATATACTTGCATTATATTCCACAACATGATTGTTGAATACGAACGACACACATATGAAGGTGATTTTAATTACTCTTATGATAATGTAAATAACATTAACTAAACAACTGAAATATTTAGCGGTCCTCATCCGAATTTTACAACAAGACTACAAAAAAAACAAGTCATCGTGAAAAAAAAATCATCACCAACTTCAAGGAATCTAGTTGAGTATATTTGGGAATGTTTTGAACACGAGAATGATAAAATTTAAATTTATTTTTATTGTTTTAAATTATACGTCATGTATTTGATATTAATTTTAATTTTAAATTTAATTAAATTTATTTTATATTAATTTTAATTTAAATAATTTAAATTAATATTTTATATAAAATAAAATTTAATATGAATAAAATATTAATATAAAGTAAAGTTGTGGATTATGTTATTAGAGTTGTACTAAAAAAATTGAATAAATTGTTTAAAGATGATTTGTTATGCCTAGAGCCGACAAAACGGACTACCCGACCCATGATGGACTCGGATTTTGTGCGGGTCGGACTAAAAACTCAGATTATAAACGGGTCACAATTTGATTGACCAAACCCGATCCTTCACGGGCTACGGTTTTTCGGGCCGACCCGGTTTATATTTATAATTTTTTTTTTTTAATTAAAAAGTGAGTGTTTTATTTAAAAAATAATATACTACTATTAGTATATTGTACAAATTATACTCTAATTTTACCATAGCGTCAAATTATAACAGTATGATATTTCATTTCACTTAGAAAATAATAATAATATCGTACACACCAAAATATAACTTATAACATTTTCTTTAGTATATTGTTTGTCTTTTTCATTTGGACAAGGATTCAAACCAAAGTAAAATTCTCAATAATAATATTAAGTTTTACAAATTAAATTAATAATAAAGTTTAAAATTTATTAAAAATTAAGCGGATTATCCCCTATCTGGTCGGACTAGTCCGATTAACATCGAGTTTTTAACCATTCAAATTTAAAAGTCTAGATAATAAATAGACCTTATTTTTTTTTAAGTCTGAATTTTTTTGACAGACTTTCGTGCCTGAGTAGTCCAGCCCGTTTTGCTTGCTCTAAGCATAACTAGTCTCATAAAAAATTCAAAAATAAGTTGCTAGAAGATACTCTTAGCTTTTTAGGCTTAGACAGAGCACGTGGCCCTCATTTCATTTGCTGGATTATTCAGTGCCCAGGTAACCCTAATCGTGATATCATCCAACGGCCCCAATTGAAAATACATTCCCCACCCGATCCAACGGATCTAATTACACCATTTAATTACAATAAAAACAAAATATAAATTTATAATTCCAATAATACTATTCACAAAGTGTCCTTTTTTATTTTTCAGAAAAAAAAACCTTTCCGTTAAATTTTTACTACTGTCTCCTTCATTTTATCGAGCTTCTGCATCTGCGAAAAAACTCAGTAACAAAATAACAATCCCCACAAAACAAAACCCTATTTTCAAAATTCGATGATGAGAGGTTCGAAGCGTTTCGCTGTATCAGAACCAAACCAGGCTAATACCAACGAAACGACGGTAAGTGTGACTTTTATTCGTCGTTTTGAAGCTTGAACTCAATTTGAATTTGATTCAATTTCATTTTGTTTGCTCTACTTCATATTTTTTCTAGCTACTGTAGTTCTCAACGATGATTTATTTATTTATTTTGATTTTGTTGATTTTTCTAGCAATATTGAATGTCGTTGAAATGAGTTTTGAAAATGATTGTAGTTGGATTTTTGAAAATTCTACTTGTTTGCAATTGAGCAGTTTCTGGCTGTATATTGAATGTAGTAAAATTGATTTTGGTTGAAGTGAGTTGAAATTGAGTTTGTCTGAAATTGATTTTACATTCAAATTGATTGTTCAACTCACTTTTAGTCTGAATCAATTTTACTGAATGAATGTTTGGTTTCATGTTTAGAGCATTTATAATTGATTATGGCTAGGTAGAAATGATTTCGACACGTTTGGTCTCTAGTAGAATTGATTCTATTTGAAGTTATGATTTGTAGCTTTTGAGTTTAAAAGTGATTTTTATTGTTAAATTTACTATTCAACTCACACTTCCAGAAATTTATCCAAATATAATTCGCTTTACCTTCAACTCGCTTTTAGATTGTGTTTGGTTCTGCCGTCTAAATCAATTCACTAAAAGTCAATTTTCTTCATCGCTGAACCAAACACAATCAATTCACTTGAAATCAATTCTCTCCACCGTAGAACCAAATATACTGATTTATGGTTGGATATATTTATGTAAATCAGCTGTAGAAGTCAGAAGCTACAAATTCTAGAAAGAACTTCCAAACATGTAAAATCAATTTTACACTTCTAGAATCAATTTTTGCTCTTCCAAAAGTTAAACAAACATATATTTGAAATTTGTGTATTCTAAATGGCTGCGACTATTAATCATTTTTACTAGCATCCTCTCGAGTCGTTTCAGGATTGTGAGACCGTATTGGGTATTGAAACTGATAATTTCTGTTTAAATTAAAACTTGCAATTTTCTAGTTGGTTTTTGTCGTAATCTGAACCGTAGCGTTTATGTGTTAGTTGTAAATTGTTATACTGAAAACTCTAATTTTCGAACTACATGTGCTGTGCCATGTAGTTTGAGACATTGACATACTCTGCCGAACTTCGTAGTCAAATATTGTGTTTCATTGTTTGCGTTTTATGGTTTCTTCTATGACGAGTTTCTGTTCTAACAGTTTTATTAGATTTTATCATTTTATGCTTATCTTATTTCCAATGTCGAAAGGGGTTCCCAAAGTTTTAGTTAAGTGTTTGTCTTTTTCTGAGGGAAGTGTGTATTCTAAATGTTGAGGATTTGCAATGCCAGAGGAGGGTACTTGACACTGTCATTCCTTCTGAATTGAAGTTTTGATTTATTTTGGATGAGAAGGAATAGTAATTCTTATTTGGCAATTAATGAAGTCACCTAAATTTGCTTTAAATGGTCAATTTCAATAACTATGTATGCAGAATTTTCTTTGTGCTTTATATTTATCGTCTCTATGTCTCTTTTTGGAAGCATATTATACCTCAATTTTTAACATGATGCAGTTTCGGAATAAAAGAATAATGGAAGGATCTCTCTTTGATGTCCATAGGGCCGAACCATCCCAACAATTGATGGTGGCAACACCCCCATTGGATATGAAACGGGCAGAGTCTTCCCAGCAGCATGTGAGAGCTTTAAATACCCAGTTTGCAAGGTTCATCTTTTATTCAATGTCAACAAATTTGCCTTTTCTTGATTTATGCATTTCAATTTTTCCAGTCAATAAGAAAAAAGTTTGGTCTTGATAACTGAATTTGATTCATTGTTCTATTCCTTGGTTTAGCTTATTCAATAGTGGTTGTCTCCTGTGTCACAAAATTTAAATCTAGATACATTGAAATCCATGTTAAAAGAATATGCATTTATATGGTTATGATTATGAATGTTGCGTTGGTTATTGTTATTCCACAAACTCTAATTGTTATGTTATGTTTTTCTCACAGCTGGGTTCAAACACAATTAAAGAACCACCCTAATGATTACTTATTCATTAGTGGTTGTCTCTTGTGTCACAAAAAATTTAAATCTAGACATATTGAAAGCCAAGTTAAAAGAATATGCATTTGTATGGTTATGATTTATGAATATTATGTTATGTCTTTCTCACAGCTGGGTTCAAACACAATTAAAGAATCACCCTGATGAGCTTTGGGAAGATGGTGTCAGAGATTACTTAGATCATGCCACAGGCATTATGGTAATTCTTCACATGGTTACTTTAATGCACTAGAGCCATGCATGCTTATGCTTCTTATTTACTCAGTGTGTTTCCATATCTAGTCAAATTGCTGTTTATGTGGTTGTGTATAATGCAATGAAATAAGCATATGTATGCACACTACCAAATACACCTAAACCTACATATGTGAAAACACTGGCATCCTACTTGAAAATTAATCATTCAGGGTTATAATAATACCATTTTATATGTTTTACACTTTTACTTAGAATTGGGGTCTGTTTATTTCTACAAGGATAAACATAGATGCTTTCTGTTTTTGTGTATTTTGTTTGTAACATAAACACTCTTAACCGTTTCCTTTTTCTTTGGGCGTCACAGCTAAATGGTACTAGAATATTTTTGCTTGTTACTCTACTCCACGCCCTTGGCTTCTTGAAACATGAATGCTTGGAGCTAGTATTAGCATGCACACCCATCTTTTTCTTAAAAATAATGTTACTAAATAAGAATGGTGTAAGTCATGCATCTGCAGAGTTAAAAACATTGACCTTGTAAAGTTTATTGTTTCAGGAAAAATTTAGTGATGTTGTCAACTGGCTCAAAACAAATGCCTCCAACAACCAACAACAACAACAACCAAGCCCTATCCCATTAAATGGGGTTGGCCTCAAAGCAAATGCCACCAAGGCAGAAAATTCTACTTCTGGTGCTGGTGCCGGTGCTTCTTTTGCTGGGGCCACCAAGGTAGAAAATTCTACTTCCGGTGCTGGTGCCGGTGCTTCTTTTGCTGGGAAAATGTTTTTGCCCGAAGTAACAAACAAAGAAAATAAGATTTTTGGAGAAAAAACTGAATCTCCTCCTGTCAATACTACTACAAGTTTTGGTAGTTCCTGGAGCCCTGGAATATTTTCAAACAATCAAAACATCTTTGCATTCGGTAGGTCTCTTCTGACTTTTAAAATACACCCAATAGGTTTTTTTCTTTCTCACATGTTATATTAACTCTAGAATGGGTCACACATGCAGTACTCTAGATTGACTGTTATTCTGTTTAAATGCACACCATTCAACAAGCAAATTATGTCTCTGAATATTTATTTACCTTCTGAAATGGAAGACTGAAAATTTTGATTGTATGATTGAAGTTTTTTGGTTGAAGTTTAGATGACAGATACCTATCTGAGATAGCTGAGATTTCTGTTGAAGTTATACTAAGCTGGGTTTGTAATCTAATAATAAATAAATTGGAGCTTTGTGAAGACGAACATGCTAATATTATGATATGTCAGGTGTTCTTTATGGATGACCTCATGTCATGTCGAGAACTTCACATTGCATTTAGATACAAATATTTTAAAAAATTGACATAACAACTAGCGATGAAAGTTGTCGAGAACTTCATAATGGCATTTGTTTTATCCCGTTTAGTGTTATACCTTGAACTTATGAATGAATTAATGTCACTTTTATGATATTTTTTTAGGTGAGGAGGAGGGAGAGACATCTCCCAATGCCACTTTTATGATCGTCTACTAACTTTCTGTATTTTGTTTTAGGAAATCAAAGTTCCGCCCCTTCCAACTCCAATCCTTCCAACTCCAATCACAACGAGTCAGGTGATGTGGATGCTGGTGAGGATCTGATGCTTTTATTTCTTGCTCTTCACATTAGCCTATCATTATCAGCATTCAGCAATTACTTCATTTATTAATATTATTATTCAGTAATGAATTTTTTCTTTTTAAAAAGATTATGCTTATGAATATAAATAAAGGTTTCTTCTTCTTGGTAGGTGGTGCTGGTAAATGTGTGGTTACCTAATTATACCATGCTGAATATAGAGATGTATATTAACCTTTGTTCCTTCGTGTATTATATGATTTTGATGAAAATTACTATTTCTTGCAAAGAGGATATAATTTTTAATCTGAAGCTTTTTATGAGAACATGGAACTTCCCCTCTAAATTGTGGTAGAAACTTCTATTAAACGGAAAAGAGTGTTAAAGTGGCTGAGTAAAAAGTACACAGTGAACCCCTAGAGTACAATTACTTATCCGTCCATTGGGTACTCAAATGGATGTCTTTCCATATGACATGTTAACTCGTCCTTGAAGCACCTAGGCACTGGACTACAAGTTCATTCTTTCTTTCCTTCCTGCATTTCTTTTTCAATTATTTTAGGATACTGTTGGAATAGGTTTGATATTAAGCAGAAGCACTGTTCTTATCTTGAGTAGTTTTTATTTAACTTTACCTAAAAGGGAAGATTTGTCAAAAAAAATTTAGTGGGGAAAATGGTAGTTTTGAGTGGTGATTATAATATGAGTATATCATGTTTTTTTAATATTTGTATTTCCTCTATAAACTACTCAGTGGCTAATCATTTTGGTTGTCATGCCAAGTGTATTGTTGCTTTATAGTATCTTGTAGTTTTGAGTGGCGATTATAATATGAATACAGCATGTTTTTTAATATTTGTATTTCCCCTATAATCTACTCAGTGGCTAATTATTTTGGTTGTCATGCCAAGTCGATTGTTGCTTTATAGTACCTTGTTGTGTTGCCCCTTTTTTATGCCAAGCTGATGGCTGAATCTCACATATTACGATTGCTTCAAATTTGAAAAGAGATTCATTTTTGTGGCTTTTATAAAATATTTTGTATCAGCTACTGTTAACGTTTGAGATAAATACCAAACAATTTTAGAGGTTTTTTGTTGTAGAATAACTTGTCTGACTATTATAAATTTCTAAATATTTTACTGATGAAAATAACGTGTTTTCCTTAAAAAAATGCACATGCAATCATGCCAGTTCATTACTAAATGATGGATTTTCATCAGGATCTTGCAGTCCACCAATAAACTTGCTTGCCTTGTTTTTGACACTGCCAAATTTTGTACATTACGATACCAATAAAAAGTCTTGTTTACTTGATCTCAGAAAATGACGAAGAGCAGCCCAGCAGCCCATCAGTGAAGAAGTCAGAAGAGAAAGGTGTTACACTTGTACATGAAGTGAAGTGCAAGCTTTATGTGAAGGTTTGTATCTTAATATTTAGGTCAGCATATGTATTTTTCTGCTCTTGTTTCAATTCAACTTGATTTGGTTCCCTTGATATGTTAAGTCAAGTGATCCAACTGATAAGGATGTATGGAAAGATAAAGGAATGGGCCATCTGTCCATTAAATGCAAAGAGGGGGTTGCTAAGGCTACAAAAGAGTCCAAACCTACAATCATTGTTCGAAATGAGGTTTGTTTGTTTTATAAGCTCTTCAATGAATTGGCCTAAATGTAATTTCTAGGCTCTTAGCTTTTTCATTGAGAATTTCACTTATTGCTTCAGTTTCTGTTTAACAATGGCAGGTAGGAAAAATTCTTCTCAATGCCTTGTTGTATCCTGGAATCAAGACAAGTGCACAAAAGAACTCTCTTGTTGCGATATTTCATACTTCGGTAAGTTCAAACCCTTTCTTTCCTTTTTTGTTTTTTTTTATTCGATAGTTACTTATTTTTCTCAACACTTTTCAGTCTCATTTATGACATTTGTTTTTAAGACCACTAACCCAAACTTAAAACGTTGTTATCCTAGAGCAACCCCAAACTTAGAAATATACTACACAAAAGATTTTATTTCTCAAAGAATACTTAACTCCAAGAAGATACAATAATTATAAGCAATTTAGAGTTCATAGCATGTTTATTCGGTTTAAAAACAAAGAAAGGGTTTTAGTCTCAAAGGGGCTAGTAAATGATATATAGTAAAATCATAATAGGTTAGTCCTAAAAGACTTTAGACACCAACAAAAATCTATCTCAGTGTGTGCATAACAATACAATTACTTGTAAAGAAATAGTGCAAGTTATAGAAAAAACTTCACTACACATGGTGGGCAAGCATAGTTAAAAAGTCAAAGAGGGCAAAGCATAAACGCAAACTCTCACATTTAACTTAACATCTTCATGCAGGTACTGAAAAAAGTTCCATATAGGAAGGAAAACATAGAAAAACCCACTAGAGAAAATTAATGCTTGAATGTTTTAGAGAGTTGACAGGAGGCTTGACATGTTACTATGTTAGACTAGGTGACAGTGCTTGTGGACCCCAAGTTGCGGTCCTGTAATAATGGATTTGGATTTCCTGTGATTTGGATTTGGATTTTCAAGATTTCCCAACTCCAGGGAATGTGGATCCACCTCCTCTTACGTCAATGAAACATTCCTATCAAATTAAGTGACTATTTGATGTCTTTTTCATTGTTACTTCTTCCATGATAAACCAGGATCCTTTTTGGTTTACAGAAATATATTATACTATTTTATTTTTCTTTTACTTCTGCTTTCAAAGTTTTGCATAAGAAACAATGAAAAAGAATAGAAATAATTATATTGTGAAATGTCAAAAAAGTTCAGTCTCAAAAAATCTTCAAAACATTTATTCTTTTAGCTTTTTTTATGGAGTAATTTGGTAATAGCTTTTCTAAGTAGCTTTACCTCTTATTCTATTATCGGATAGCCAGCAGAAAACAAACGTGAAAGTTGAGAATTTTTTGTAGGGTAATGATGATGGTGGAGATAATGATAGTGTTGTTGCACGAACGTTTTTGATCCGGATGAAAACAGAAGATGATCGAAATAAACTGGCTTCAACAATTCAAGAATATGCTCCAGTATCTTGAGAGTTATGATTGTTGTGCCATCACAGGGCCATCGAAAGTTACAGAATACCATATCATCTCCATTTTTTTCCTTTCACAAAAGTTGAATTTTCTCTGAAGTATCATTTTTGTGATTCTATGTTGGAACTTCTTTAGAGGCTGTTGCTTATTTATCATCTAGAATCACGTAGATCAATGTCATTGTTGTTCAGGGGTTGGAATGTGATACATTTACTTGGACCCAAAGTTCTACTTTTTCCATACTATATAACCAAGGCAAATTTTGAGTCAATTGGATAATTTGATTCGTGTTTGGTATGAAAATTACTTCTGCTTAAAAGTAAAGTGAAGGTAATGAAAATTGTGTTTGTATACTGGCTGCAAAAAATGCACTTATAGGAAGAAGAATATCTGAACTCTAACTAGATTTGGCTATCTTGAATAATTAAAAGCATATCTCCAATACAAGGTAGTTCTTATATGTATTTTATTACTTTTACTTTGTTTTCTTCTCAGCAATATCTATCATAGGATTATAATTCTTCTCCATCAACAGGTTTTGCACCCTAAAATAAGTTGCTGATTCTTATGCACCATTATAAAGATATGGTTATTAAACTCTCAAAATATTGTTTACACAAATTAATGTCTAATTATATTTTATAATTTGTATCATTTTTTTAAAACCAATGTTTTAAAATCTGGACCGGAGATCGAACCGGTGAAGTTTGCGATTTAAAGTTTAATTGGTTTAACCCGTTAAACTGTCAAACTGTTTATTAAATAAATTAATAATATAAAATTAAATTTCATAAATATGTCACACGTACTCATATATTCACAACTTAATAAAATAAATATTTCAAAAATCTATTACAAATTTAATACAATAATATCAATAATAAACATAATAATATAACATAATTATGCACTTTATTTCAACCTTTAAGAATAATTTGACCAAATTAAATAATTATAATAAAATAAGTTAAACTAATTCAACCTAAAATTAAAATAATAGAATTTAGGCAAAATATCATTTTTCGTCCCTTAACTTTAGCTCGGGGTCCATGTTGGTCCCTTATCTTTAAAAAGTGGCAAGTTGGTCCTTTAACTTTTAAAATGGTGTCATTTTATTTCGCACCGTCAGTTGTCCCAAAAGTCCGTTTGTTTTGTATATCTGGCAGATGACATGGCAATCTTGTTCATGATGTTGCTTCCTTCTCCCTCCTCCTTCCGTTGAAATCCCTAAAATAATCTGAATCCCAAATCCCAAATCCCTAAATTAATCTAGGTTTTTTTTATTTGTTAAGCATGAAATCCGGATGTTCCTCCTCCATTTCGAAATCGAAAAGTCGGGATTCGGATGTTTGTAGTCGGTCACGATGGAAGCCCATGTGCCATTGCGAAGACATAGTTGTTCTTCAAAGGACAACTACTGTTAAGAATATGGGAAAACTTTTTTGGGGTTGTCCAAATTATAAGGTATGCAAGCTGGTTTTGTTCTCTGTTAAAGTTCTGTTTTTCTTTAAGTTATGTTTCTGTTTCTGTTTCTGTCCAAATTATAAGTTATATTTTTGTTTAATTTTAAATTCATTATCCATCATCCTCTAAACAATGAAACTTACAGGGAGGTATGCAAGCTGGTTGTGGCTTCTTTGATTGGTTTTATGAGAAGATGTGTGATGAGAAGGAGCAATTTTGGATGCATAGGCTGAGTGTGGTAACTTAGGGACTTGCTGAAGCAAAAAAGGACATTGAAAAAGTGACAATGGAGAATGAAGAATTAGGGAAAAAGCTGATGAAACTTGAAAGTGAAATGAAGAATATCATGAAGTGGAAAAAGATTTTGAATTTGATGTTTGTGATGATTATCATTGTATTAGTTGTTAGGGGTAGTTAGGGTATTAAGGTTTGTTTGGAAGTAGTATGTTATGGTTTGTTTGTAAGAATTAAGTTAAGTTTTGGTTGTAAGAATTATGTTTTTATGTTTAGTTAAAGTTTGTATCAGTTTTGGATTGTATCACTTCAACATGAATGTAATAGTTGAATTTTAATATATGGATTCTATCAGTTTAGTTGGATTTTAATATTTGGTATATTATGTTTTTATGTTTACTGTAACACCCCATTTAAACTATTTTGTCGTTTATGCCTTGTTGTGTGTATATTTATTTAAGTGACCTTAGTTGAGGTGTTGTGGACTTAGTTATTAATAATAATATTAGAAGAGGTATTATTATTATTATTATCTATTATTATTATTTAGATTATTAGTGATAATTAAATTAAATGAGTTAAAATTTAATTAAGGGGATTAAGGGTGAATTAGGGAGAGTTAATCAGGAACGTGAAAAAGAGGAAACAGACAGAACAAGGAGAGCTAGGGCAGAGGAACCAAGAATCTCCATTGTTGTCAAAGAAAGCTCAATTCTAAGGTAAGGGGGAGAAATGTATTTCATTAATGGATGAATTAGCATGAGAGGGTAGTGATAGGTCCTTTCTCTCCTAGGAATTATGCATGTTTTAAATGTTTGATCTGATTTTCGTAGCATGATAAATTCCATATAATTGATGTTCTTGTCGAATAATTCTGGTATGTTGTTTGTGAGTATAAGACTGGGATTGATATGGAATTCGTGTGAGGATTCTTGATGTTGTCATAGAACCTGTTGGAATATCAGATCTGGAAATCTGAGAGTTTGGAGATGAACGAAATCGAACCCTTAGAAGGTAAAAACGTAGTAGAATGATGAATAGACGAAGTATAGTGATTGTAGAGAAAATTGATTAACAAAAACTGAGTTTTAGGTGGATTTGAGTGGAAAGATGAAGAGGATTGAGTGAGAACACGTAGCAGGAGGAGATCTGGTTTTTGGAGCAACAACTCTGTTGATACGCGTATGGAGTGAGGCAATACGCGTATTGGGCTAGGCCATACGCGTATGGATGGCCTATTAGAGAGGGTAGTATGCGTATGAAGCTAGTCGTACGCGTATGAAGTGATTTGAGAGGAATTGAGTCTATGGTCATACGTGTATGGTAGGATGATACGCGTATGGCAGCGAGCAAAATGCGTATAGGATAGGGTGATATGCGTATGGGCAGGCCTGGGGTGACTTTTTGTCGTTTTTGCGATTTCTGTCCCGATTTCGCTTGGAACGCGATTTCGTTTGATCAGTAGGGCTAATATGACTAAAATGAACTTAAGGAATAATTGTAGTAGATGTAATTAGAGAAAATGTGGAATTATATGGGAGTGCCCGCAAGGGTGTGTTTGATGAGGGTGAGCCATGACTATCGAATGTGGATAATTTTGTGCGATTGTGGTAATCCCCGAGAGGATTACGGTGAGCGGATGGCTCGTGTGGATCGTTATTGATCGTGAATTATGCTTGATTTATATTGTTTCATAATTGTGTTGTCATGCATTTTCATATCATGTGTCTTGTGGAGATGGCTAGGTGGAAATCCATGATGGGTGCCTAGTGTAACGCCCATTTTAATTAATTTCATTTCCGGTATTATTTTATCCCCGGATGTGTTTTGAGGAAGTGTTGGAGGATTATGAACTCATAGTATTAATATGTGGTAAATAAAATGCGATAATTAATGGTAATGTGAAAATTATTATTAATTATTATCATTATTATTTCCAATATTAATATATGAGAAAACATAATTAATTGGACTTTTTGGAATAAAAGTATTATGAAGAATTGATATAATTTTGGGAAATTATATTTATTTGGATTAAAATGTTTATGAGAAATTAAAGAAAATTATAAGAATGTTGTTTATTTGGAATAAGTGAAAAATAAGTGATAATATTGGGACTAAGGGCAGCTTGGTCATTGGCATGCTAGAATTGGAAGGAGAGGAAGAGAGAACTCGTGAGAACACGAGAGGAAAGGAGAACAAGCGATCAAGAGAGCAAGCTGAAGCATCAAGAACAACAACAAGCTAGCTAATTTCCGTGTGGATTGAGGTGCAGAATCATCATCAAAGCTTCGTTTGAGGTAGGGGGATTTTACGGTTACTTTGGCTCTTGCATGAAATTCGGTAGAACGGGGGAAAATCCCTAACCCCATAGAATTGTTGATGTTTGATGTTGTTTTTATGCTATTGTTGTTGTGAATGTTGAGTTGTATGATGCTTAATTCGTGCATGTGCTGAGATGCTGAGTTTTATGAGTTTTGGAACGTTTCGGTTAGGCTTCAGAGTTGAACCGGAAGTTGGTTCGGAGGGTAGAGTGGATGAATAATCGAAATAGAATCGGGAATAGACCTGTAGTGTAGTGGTAGCACGTTGTGTGGTATTGGGTATCGATTTAATCGGGCAGAATCGGAAGTGGGGGACGATTCTGATAAGCAGAATTTCCCTGATTCTGCAGGTTTCGCCAGCCTTCGCTGGGCGAGTGGAGGCGAGCCTTCGCCAGGCAAATGTTTGCTGCGGGACTTCGCCAGGCGAGTATGCCAGCGAGCCTGATCGGTGGATTTCACTTGTGTTTTCAAACGCTATTTGTTGTTAATTTCGCAATGTTTTTTATCTGTTTTCGAAGCTTTAGTTGTTATTATCTGAATTACTCGTAGTTGTTTGTCTTCAAGTCTTATTTCTAAGTTTGTATTACTTTTGCCGCTGGTGCGTTTGATTCGGTTTCTTTTAGTGTGTTTTTGGCAGGAATGGATAGCACGACAGTCACACCGCTTTCGGAGGCAAAGAAAAGTCGGAAAAGGGAAGTCAGAGCTACAACACGGGTACCCGTGTTGCACAACACGGCCCGTGTCATGGAGGACACGGTTGGCAGACACGGGTAGACCAAAGCAGAAGAAAAGGAGACTCAGACGTACAACACGGGTGCCCGTGTCATGTAACACGACCCGTGTTGCAGCCCTTGGAGATGAAACACGCCCTGAAGAAGTCAGCAGCCTGACACGACCACCCGTGTTGCACAACACGGCCCGTGTCAGGGCCACTGAGAGTGAAATTTTTGTATTTTCTGATTTTTTGCTGTCAGGCCT